AATATATATTATTCTGTAATGGAGCAATCTGCATAATGAGCACTTCTCTCACTTCTGCCTGTTACTGACATTACATGCATAAAGCATTTACTGAATACATCTAGGGTTTACAAGGTGATATGGGGAGAGGACAGAGAAAGGAAAAACATAGTTTTGACACACCGATGTTTGTTTTGCTTTTTTAAGGGGAAAAAGTTACATTCGTACCCCTGTAGTCAATAAACAGTTATTTCAATAAGACCGTGTGAGCATTTTAGATTCAAAATTACTTTTAACTAAAGAACAATTCAAGCAAGATACTGATTTTAGCGACATTTGACACATGCAGCTGCAGGCATGCATAAATAAGAAATAAAACAACTAAAGTTAGGTATTGATGCATTTTTCATTATAACGTGACCAAGCTTGACATGTTTTATTTCCCCTCAAAACTCAAGCACTTTGCTTTTGAAGGTAGCCAAATCGGTGAAAAACGTTTACATTTTTACAATTTATAATAATCATAATAATTCTGATTAAAAGGATAACTTATAGGAACATGTTGCATAACTTTGTTTCTTAATTTCAAAGAGGAATATGATATGTACATTTGGGATGATAGTGCTAAAACTAAAACTTGTGTTTGAAATTCTTGAAAGGCATAAAGCGGAAGTTGCCACCAATAACCACAAGGATCTGATATAATAATTCCTACTAGGGTAGTTCTGAAAAATCTACAGGCTACCACAAAAATATATTGGACTGAAATCCAATCAAATTGTCTGATATGTTTGACAGGCTTGAGTACGGACCAATAGAACAACTCTAAACAAGCTGACAAGGGGCGGTCCCAAGGATATTTTATGTCATCAACTCAAGGCGCTTTGTTGTTCTTGCAGGTCAGAAGAAGAAGACAATTATTTTCAATTCGTTTTAAACAACCCGGGCTAAGCAAAGATACCATCTCACATGGTTCAATATACCTAAACGCCAACCAAGAAGTCGTCCGGTAAAAAGTGGAGTATTTGTGGGACCAAATCAACTCAGAATTGAGCTAGCATTAGCTTCTCCGAGAGGGAGTCCACTATCCAGATTGGAGCGGAAGGAATTCCAGGCACTGGGAAGAAGGAGGGAGAAATCACTGCTGGGATGTCTCACACAAATTGAAAAAAACATGTATTTCTCAGTTCCTCCCGGGATTATAGCACTGTAAGCCTGGACTATGTGTTCGTTTGACTGATATCCACTCACTGGAACGACTTGATGGTGGTTTTGTAACAGTTAACGTGCCAGTTTAGCGAGTTAGCCACGTAGCTACGTAGCCCTCCGGAGGAAGACATTTAAAATGGCGGAGGGTTGGCCCATTCCTTCGGCCCTTGTCTTCGTGCTGCTGAGTTTGAGTGCTTGGGCTCTGGAGTCTTGTCCCGCTCCCTGCTCGTGTTTAAAAGGACAAGATGAGGTCTATATTCTGGACTGCAATAGGAAAAGACTTTCGGCGGCTCCCGTGGACCCACCAGAGGGGATAATACAAGTGTGAGTACACAAGGAGTAAGAAGAAGTGTGTTGAAGTTACTCACAGCACTGGTTTGTTGCTGATCCAGGAGGCGAAACATAACATACCAAGGAAACCTGTTCAGAAGTATTTTAGGCACTTGACCATCGATATACAAGTTTCTCTGAGACTTTTCTAGTTTTAGGTCTGAGTTTAAAGCAATGCTGTGTTATTCAAATATATATCTTATAAGGGTTTGAGTTTTTGTTGAAACTAGGAGGTGTTAAGATTATGTTATAACTTTTGAGGTCAATATTTAATTAACTTTTATTGCAATCTCTCTTCAAAAGAATCTCATAAATGACATAAAGCTTATCTGCACTTTTGTATTACTCTTTTCTTGACCATTTATGGAGAAGTTGTATAACTAATGATGTGACTGATGCACAAGACTTAACTCTTTATGATTTAATTATCCTGCAGCAGTATTTTTTAAAATACAATTCTAATGTTGTATTGACTCTCATTTCAGCACCATGAATCACAATGAGCTGACCGTTCTTCCTTTTCTTGGAGATGTTTCCTCAAATATCACATCGCTGTCCTTGTAAGTATAAAACCCACTTTATGTTATCTAGCCTCCTGTTAAAACAAATGTTCTAAACAAAGCTTGCATTTCATTATGTAAAGCTTTGCCTCCTTTTATGTCATACTTTACATGATTGTAAATTATTGGTAAATTATTGGCAGTTTTAGCAAAACATTTAAAAACAAAGGCCTCTGTTTTGTGTAAAAGTTTGACCATTTTGGAAGACCTGCATATTTTTTGATGTAATCTTTTTATGATATATAACTTTATGTAGACAAATATACAGAAATCAAAACATTTGTAAAACACGATTAGATATTGTCTTTACTTTGCTCTGCAACTGATATGAATAATTTCTCTTACTTAATTTGTCACAATAATCAGTGGTATTATGGCTTTGAAAAAAACGAATACCTGTCATATTGTTTTTATATTCAGAGTCCACAATAGGATCTCGGCGCTGTCGATGTATCAGCTGCAGCCTTACGTTTCCTTGGAGACTCTGGACCTGACATCCAACTCCATCACAGAGCTCAACGTTGGATCCTTCCCCTCCATGCAGCTGAAATATCTGTAAGTAATCCTCTTCATTAAAACATTGTTGTTGGGCCTTTTCTCATTTCTCTAATTCCCCTCCTCGACTCCTATCCTCGTGTCTTAGTCCCGCCCACAGGAGATGCGAGCGGAGGAGTTGAGGAGGGGAACCGAGGAGAGAGGAAGGGAAGCAGCAGCAGGCGGTTAGAGAAATGAGAACTCCTCTCCTCTGAGCGGTCATTTTAAAGAGACGTCCATTAATGATGACAGGAGGCAAAGCACTCTGGGTGTTTCTCAATGTCGAGAACGCTTGCTTGGTAGCACAATCTTCCGAGTCACTTGCTTCAGAAGCGAGGCAAGAATCCTTCCTAGCCTCGGAAACAAAGAATTTTGGAACATGCTAGCAGGTGTGCGTCATATGCGAGGCTCCGCCTTAAAGTGGACCTATCATGCTATATTTGAATAATATAGTGTAGGACCATGCCTATATAAGGCATATTTATACTTTTTATTTTTCAAAATACCAAACAGATCATGCATTTTAGCCATTCCTCATTTTGCTCAATTTAACAGTCTTTTCATGGGCTGATTCTGTGAGAAGAGCACCATCTACAGGCCTGGCATATGTACTCCAGCGCTTTCGAACGGCAATGTCCGTGGCTGTCTCCTCCTGATTGGTGGAGTTGGCCCAATAGCCGTAGCGCCCCTTCTGTGACGTCATAGAAGTGTTAAAATCTGGATCAGTCTGTATCAGATCCGTTGCAGCCCCTTTTTAAGAGATTTGGGTATGGAGGAAAAGAGAGAGGGTTGTGTTTTCTGACACTTGGTGAGTTCCCTGGAACACCGGGGACACATATTCATGTATAAAAGACGTACAAAAGTGCATTTTGCATGATAGGTCACCTTTTTAAATGGAGCGCGATTTCCGCCAAAGATTTGGGGAAATTGGTCAGTGCGCAAAGCATTGTGGGGATTTTAAGACCGCGGAGTCTACACATGTGCAGCCTCAAAATTTCTCGCTACGAAGTACGCCGGCCTCGGTAGAATTCCAAGTATGCTGGACATTGGAACAGCCCTTCGGCGGCACTCGATGACGTAGTATGCTTGAAATAGTGGCTCTGGAGCAGCTTTACTCGACACTGAGAAACACCCACTGTCTGATGGACAGAAATGTGTTCATGATGACTTATATATTTACTTTGAATTCATTCACAGTGCGGTATAAGGAGAAAATAACAGGCTACAGATGTGGACATAAATACACACACACGCACACACACACACACATATATATTTATATAAATATATAATATCAGATTCAAACAAGTATGAGAGCACTCTCATAATAACTTAACACTATCAGAGACTTGATATATCCCCCCCCCCCTCTCTGGTCGCTACAATTGGGAAATATAATTACGAGCCAAAAGCACACTCACACACACACACACACACACACACACACACACACACACACACACACACCACCCGTTAGAATATTTTTCCGCCGGTCAACATGTCCGTTAAAGTTTAAATCTTCCGGACAAAATTAGAAAAGTGCCGGTCAAAGGTCTTCTTTGTTATTTATTGAGCTTTAAAACGAATTGATATGATTCGATATTAAACAAACTAATTATAGTAGATTAACTACATTATTCAACAGTGTACAGTAATTTGTAATAACACGGGATAAACGGAGCGCTCTCTCCTTCTCCTGACAGCCCGTCAGTCTCATGCAGCTCGTGGATCAGTAATGATAAGTGACCCGACAGTAAAATTTACTGTCGGGTCACTTATCATTACTGATCCACGAGCTGCATGAGACTGACGGGCTGTCAGGAGAAGGAGAGAGCGCTCCGTTTATCCCGTGTTATTA